TGACCTATCCTATCCTATCCTATCCTATCCTATCCTATCCTATCCTATCCTATCCTATCCTCATCTCTTGTAGTTCATTTTTCTATCTTTCTTTCCTTTCTTCAGCAGTGCAGTAATCCTTTTCATTTATTCTACCACAATCCTGCTATTTTTTTATTTTTCTTTTCTTCGGTTTTGGGTGGAAGGAGAGAAGGAACTGTGTGCATCTTTATGTGAGAGAATGGTTTGTGTGCTAAAGAGAAAGTGGCTGTATATGCAAATGAGATGAATTAATTTTAAAATAGGATACTTTATTTTATATGCAAGCTATTTAATTAGTTGTGATTTGTGTGTGGGGATGTATTTTCATCCTGGCCCTGACATATTTTTGGAGTAGCACTCTTGACAGGTATCCATAGACATGTACAACTATGTTACATGCACACATTTATGGTAGGGATCACTAGGATTAGTTTCTACTGGATTGGCAACCTATGCAGCAGATTTTTATTTAGGCTTTTTAGAGTCTACTCTTCCCAAGCTACAGAGAAGACTCACAAGATGACACTGCTTTACAGCTGGGAAATGCTAACTCATCCAGATTTTATGTTCAGCAGAAACAGGAGAATGAAGGTGCCATAGGTAACCAGGACTTAAGTGTTTAGGGGTTTCTAGGTGAAAACTAACACCTTGAATTACACCCAGAAGTCTACAATTAATTGGTGCAGTTTGTGGAGCAGTGGTATTACATGTATGAGATGGGAAACACCTATAACTGCATTCACAGCTGCATTCAGTTGTAGCTTCCAAGTGGCCTTTAAGTGTAGCCCATGGAGAGCTCATTTCATTAGTCCAAATGGAAATTGGTTAGGGGATAAGTAACTATAAGAAGGGCCTCCTGATCCAGGAAGAGATGTAAGGCACATAGGATGGAGCAGGACCCAAGAGTCCAGTGAGACCCCCAAATTACATACCAGTTCTATTTGAGGCAGTGCCATCCCATCAAGAACAAAAGATGGTAAATCACTGTGACTGGCAGGTCCTTTAACCTGCCACTGACCAAGCCACTCAGTTCTGTTAAGGCTAAACCTAAGCCTGTTTCTCCCCATCCAGACATCCCCTTACAGCATCCAGGCACTGGGACAGGACTTCCACAGCATCACCTGTCTGGCCAAGGGTCAAGCTGTGGAGCTGCATGTCGTTGACATATAGATAATACAGTATGTGACCCTGTGCTGATAAATGATCTCATCCAATGGCCTCATGTAGACACTGAATAGCATTGGGCTAGATCTCTCCCCACTTAGCAACACTGACTGGAATTGGCCCAGAGTGTTTTATCAACAGTAATATTTTATCAACAATACAATAATTGAAATGGAGGAAGAAAACTCCTCAGT